GAAATTCAGTTGTATCATTGGTAGAATGAAGATCTTACAGTAAGAAGACTCTTAGTTGTCCTTTAAGTTTTTTTTTTTTTAAAGATTTTTTATTTATTTATTTGAGAGAGAGAGAATGAGAGACAGAGAGCACGAGAGGGAGGAGGGTCAGAGGGAGAAGCAGACTCCCCGCCAAGCAGGGAGCCCAATGCGGGACTCGATCCCGGGACTCCAGGATCATGACCTGAGCCGAAGGCAGTCGCTTAACCAACTGAGCCACTCAGGCGCCCTGTCCTTTAAGTTTTAACAATTGAATTGTCCTCCTCCATCTTAAGCCCTTGACGATAATAAAACATAGCAATCATATGTATATTGAAATAAGGTTTATTAAATTCTCAAAAAGGTCACCGGTATAAACAACTTTGTAGTGGGGGAAAATATTAGAACTTCTATTCATATTTTTTTTCTAAAATGAGAAAGAAATTAGTCTTTTATACTCTTTAATATATGGATTGATGCTGGCTCCTTCATCTGCTCTGCAGGTCAGATCCTTGCATAGATACCACTATCCCGAATACATCCAGGGCATCCTGACATTTTGAAGGCATCATTCTTACTTTTTGGTCTTTTAATAAAGTTTGCTAAGTATTGAAACCTTTCTGTCCCCATTAAATGTATTTATAGAAACATTATATTATGTAAACTGTACTAATCCTAAAAAATTAGACGAGTAGCATAAAAAAGTCCCTTTAATAAAATTGTATATAATTCTGATAATGCAAGTATAAAGAGAAAAGCAGTAAGAAAATGATTGACCTGATACTTCTAATATTAACCCTGTTTTAGCCACAAGGAAATAAAATTCATGATGATTTAATTAAATATATCATGTTCAATCACATCATTCTCACAGAACTATATTCTTAGTAATCATATTTTTATTGAGAGGAAAAATGATTATCATTACAAATAAAAATTATTTGAAATAGCATATTTTATATATTTTGTCTTTATCACCTATTTTTGTATATCTATTTTCTGTATGTTTTACAATATGACAATACATGAGTACCGTTGCAACTGGCTACAATGTGAAACTAAATTAGGGGTATATGTATTAGGGTGCATGCTCAAAATATGATGGGAGTGCCTGATCTGTAAAGTCGAGAGAACCTCGTTTAGAGAATCTTAAGAATACAGAAATACAAAAGAATAATCTATAGTTTTTACTTTTATTAACTAATGGTTAATTCATCAGTGTGATTTTGAAATATTATCTAATAGCATATCTTTTTTATTTTCAGATGAGCCTTCTATGTAGAGAACCTGTGAGTTAGAAGTGACTTCCTTTCTTTATACACATGAAATGCTTTACAGTATGTAATGTAGATAATGCACTCACTCATTCTTTCATTTATTTTCACACATTCATCAAGTATTTATTGAATAATGTCTAAGTCCTAAGCACTGTTGTAAGTATAGACAAGATAGCAGTAATCAAAATAAAGTTTCTGGTCTTATGTAACTTTCTAATACTCTCTAATATTGGATACCATCTTAGTCCATTCAGGCTGCTACAACAAACTACCATAGACTGAGTAGCTTAAACAACAAACACTTGTTTCTCATAGTTCAGGAGGCTTGAGAAGTCCAAGGCCAAGGTCCCAGCAGATTCAGTGTCTGGTGAGAGCTCACTTCCTCGTTCATAGGTGACCATCTTCTCACTATTTCCTCACAAGACTGGGGGAAAATAAGGAGAGGGCTCTCTGGAGGTTTCTTCTATAAAGACACTAATCCCAGTTAATGAGAGCTGTGCCCTCATGATGTAAACACCTCCCAAAGGGCTCATCTTTTTTTCCCCCAAAGACTTCATCTTCTAACACTATTGCATTGGGGTTTGGGATTTCAGCATAAAAATTTTGGAAGGGTACAAATATCCAGTCTATAACAGACACCAACATTTACCATGACAGGCATGGGAAGAAGAAATAAGCTAAACATACACATTTTCCCTTCTCTAATTCTTCCCATTTGTGCTCTCTGATTGACTTCACAAAAACAAGCTCTAAGCAGAGTTGCAAAAGAAGAGCTATTTTTCATCAGTTCCATTCACTTTCCCTTTGGCAAACCCTCTTCTCCCTTCTTTGCCACAATCCTGATCCAACCTGGACCCCAGTGCCTCTGGTCTGAGGGGCTGCCCGGGATGCCCAACATATCTCTCTCCCTGGCCAAATGCTCCATGTGAATCTTGACTTCTCTCTGATTTTAAAATGTACCTCTCTGTCCTATTCTCTTAAGACAATTGTAGGTAAGTTTCTAATTTGACACAGTTTTGGTAAGAATGTTATGAGATAAAAATGGATTAATAACTAATTACTAAGGATCATAGGATACTCATTCTATTAAATAACTATACCTCAAGGATTTTTTTAAAAAGATTTTATTTATTTATTTGAGAGAGAGTGAGAGAGAGCATGAGAGGGGAGAGGGTCAGAGGGAGAAGCAGACTCCCCACTAAGAGGGGAGTCCGATGTGGGACTCGATCCCGGGACTCCAGGATCACGACCTGAGCTGAAGGCAGTCGCTTAACCAACTGAGCCACCCAGGCGTCCTATACCTCAAGAATTTTGATATACATTAGATTTAAGTATAATGCCAACTCTACTCATAATCTATTCATAATATATAGCCTTTTCTATGTACAACAAATCTGTCCTAGTATCTTCAAGGAAAACAAAGATGGGCTCACCAGATGAGAAATAGATTGAATAGGCAGGAGTTTGTTATCCAGTTTGTGACAGAGTCACCAAAGAAGGCTGTTCTTAATTGACAGATCAAGGATGCACATTCATCATTTCAATAGGCAGTGGTCACTGTGATGTGAAAGACTACATCTAAGCAAGGCTAAGTAGGATACAGAGAATGGCTTTTCATACTACAACACAATGTGGAATAGTTATTTTAGCATAAATACATAATAATATATTCATGCAGGATTCAATATTGCCAGCGTAAAATGTACTAATCCTTTTTATAAATAGACCCTGAAGATAGGTCACCATGAGACTTTCCCCAACTCACCAGTCCCACCACAGGATGTCATTATTTCCTTCATTGCCATCCTAACTTCCCCTAACACACACACACACTTTGGACCTTTTTCAATAACATAACTAGACAGGGATTACTAATCAACATCCAAAACACAAACCAAGTAAAAGACCTAATGGGAAGAAGCAAAGGTTAAATGGGGAGGAGTTGTGGGAGAAAGTCTGTGATGAAAGTGACTGCCAACAGTCAGTGGGTAGTCATATGAGATGCTCCAAGCATTTAAAATTAAAACTGTATATGTTTTGGATAGAATTTAATAGAATTGGAAACCCCTTCCATATTTCTGCACCTTTGTGGACACTAATACAAAGCAAAGGCCTATCTATATGTGTCAGTTTTCCTGGCTGATTTGATTCTGTGATTATGGACTTCAATTCCCTTCTTTCTTCAGTAGAAGTGAAAATGCTAAAATGACATCTAACAGGGAAGCAGATGCTACTATCCAAGATAGTTGAACACGGTATATGTGTAAGTCTAAATCTCTATCTATATTTAAATAAAAATATCCATTATTCTAAAAGAATATCATTATTCTTTAACCAGAGAACCAGAAGTATGCTATTCTGTGGGTTTACCTTGGTTTCCTTCCAAAACCTCCTACAGAACATGTCACCTTTACAGTGTTTTGGAAGTCCAGTTGTTTGGCAAGGTTTCTTAAAAATTCTTAAAGATAAATTGCTTTTGTTAAAAATAAAAGGCATATCCATGAGTGATAAGGTAGAGAGGTAGATAGGCCAAAGCAAATGTGGTTAGGAAACCACCCTTTTATGCACTAGGAATAGCACTTGAAACGACCAATCATACGTTAGCTTGAAAACCCTGTGTTCTTTGTTATCCTAGGTACTAAAAGTGAAAGTGTTTTGAGTTTTTAAGGAGAGGCAAAAGTCTGGGGATGATAATTGTGAACCATGAAAAATGTATTAGGCAAATGTTTTAAGTGTGAAAATGAAGAAACAAAACAGGTTTATAGAGGAGGAAAAATAATTTTCCCTTTACCATTCTGAGTTCTTGGATGAGACACCTGTAATAAAAGACAGATTGACAAGAGAAAAAACAAACACAAGCTTATTAACATGTCTACCTCATGTACACATGGGAGATACCAAGGGAAAATGATTAATTCAAAGTGGTGGCTTCTCAGGCTTAAAGACTGTCTTAATAGGGAAAGGAAAGGGTGCCTCTTAGGGGAGAATAAATGAACTTCAGAAAGATGAATGCTCCATAAGAAGAATCAATGGGAGGTATGATGGCTTGTGACAAAGTTTAGGGGTTGTGTTGACTTTTAGTCCCTTCTCCTGTGATAAGGGTCAGTATTCCCTGGTTGATGCAATAGCCAGGGAGGAAATTTATGACAATTAAGTTCCTTTTGAAGGATTTGAGGATCTGTCTTTAGGCAGATAAGGGGAAATTCAAGGAAATCTTCTCCCTGCATCTGCTGTTTTCAGGTGGCTACAGCTCAAAATAATATACAAAAGCAGAATATTTTGTGGTGACATGTTCTGATCTCCTATAGCCATATATTGGGCTGATATATTCTGCCACCCTTCAGATTTTAAAGAGTTTTCAAAACATTTCGCTTAAAGTTGTGTATGAGTTAAAAGTCAAGGATATGTCAGTCTTGTTGCATGATTTGTTACTAGTTTTCAAGTAAGTTTTTGGAAGAGTAGAATGCAGTAAGGACACATATGCCAAGTTTTTATCACTCATTCTGGTAGAGGGCTTAAAGATTTTGAGTTAAAAAGATTTTGAATTAAATAAGGAGTTTATAAAAAATGTGAACAATGCAGAAGGGACCGTGGAACTGGACCAGAAAACCAGTGTAGTTCGAAGAACTATGGCCAAGATCTGCGAATCAAAATCAGGGAAAAAATTAACTTGAATGCTTTCTTAAATTTCTCGCACAGTGCAGTTAACTTTGGTGGAAGAGAAGCTGAGAACACAGCAAATTTTTGAAGCCAAATAGGTTGACAGAAGTGGTGACTCAGCACCAAGCTTGTGCCTTAGTGGAAGAGTGTTAGAGACAAGTCCATGGGACTTGAGAACCTTCAAGCTCCACCTTTGAGAAGAGAGGTAAGCCATCAAGTTGAAAGACTCCCTTTAAGTTCCAGGCAACCCAGTACAGATGTCACTTCCATGATTATACTAGAGAGATTCTCCTTAATGGCTTGATGAAATAAGCAGCCATTCTGAAAAAGCCCAAGTGTCAAGAAACTGCAAGCAACCTCTAGGAACTGTGGGAGACAGCTGACAGCCAGCAAGAAGCTAGGGACCTGAATCCTACAACCACAAGGTAATGAATTGTGCTAACAACCTGAGTGAGTGTTATTGCTTGAATTGTGTCCTCTAAAAAGGATACGATGAGGTCCTAACCCCCAGTACCTCAGAATATGATGTCATTTGGAAATAGGGTCATTGTGTTTGTAAGTAGTTAAGATAATACTGGAGTATAGTAGGCCCTTAATTCAATATGTCTGATGTCCTTACAAGAGAAGAAGAAAGACACACAGGGAGAAGATAGCCATGTGAGGACACCGGTAGAAATTGGAGTGGTGCATCCAAAAACCAACAAAGGCCAAAGATTGCCAACAAACATTAGAAGGGAGAACAGGCAAAGGATTTTTTCTACAGGTTTCAGAGGGAGCATGGCTCTGCTGACACCTGGATTTCAGATTATGGCATCGAGAGTGATGAGACAATTTCTGTTGTTTTAAGCCACTCAGTTTGTATATTTTATTATGGCAGCTTCAGGAAACTAATATAGTGAGCTTTGAAACAGATTCCTCCTCAGCCAAGCCTCTAAATGGAGATGCAGCCTGGATGTCTTGACTGGAGCCTTGTGAAACTCTAAGCAGAGGATCCAGCTGAGCTGTGTCCAGACTCTTGGCCACAGAAACTGCGAGATAATAAATGTGTGTTGTTTGAAGCTGCCAAGTCGGTGGTAAATTGTAACACAGCATTTCTTTCTTTTTTTTTTTTTTAATTTTATTATTTATTTATTTGACAGAGAGAGAGAGAGAATGAGCCAAGGGGAAAGGCAGAGGGCAGAGGGAGAAGCAGGCTCCCGGCTGAGCAGGGAGCCTGACTCAGGGCTCCATCCCAGGACCCCGGGATCATGACCTGAGCAGAAGGCAGACGCTTAACCGACTGAGCCACCCAGGCGCCCCTAACACAGCATTTCTGAACCTATGTCTTCATCAATTGGGAACATAGCATCATAGCAGCGATCTTTAAAATGTACATACCTCATTCTGCGGATTATAGTTTCATTATTAAAATGTGTCATATCCAAACTGGTACCTCCACTATACCTTCAAGAGTTTGGTAACTTCTAGAGGGGTGGTTTATGATAAAGTCAGTGGGACCCATGGTACACCTCTGTTGTGAGGTGGGCCTCTTGCTCCACAGCAGTGTTTCACAGGATCTCTTATTGGTGGATAAGATTTTGAGAGCCCTCGGAAAATAGTGCTGGCTGAGAAACTAAGCAGGGGAGGCAAATCCATATATAAACTATGTGTCAAACTTGGTCAGTATGATTTTTTGCCTTTTCAGAATAGAAGAGTTCTGATTTCTAATTGACTTGCCCGCAACCGACTGGTTGGTGTCCTTGAGGTACGATACAATTTCAAGGGATCAGTGTTGATCTCTGTTTCTGGTAGATCAAACATTCAGCAGTGGTGGTATAAGGATCAACCCTGATGAGGGGGAGCCCATGCTACTGGGTCCATGAACGGCATCTATCCCTGCCTGCATGTCTACTCTGTTCATGAACCCTTAAAAGAAATGGGCTGGTCAAGAACAAAGGCTGACTGACATGGACTGGCCAAGTCATCTTATCCACTTTTCTCTTCCACAGTGGCCATCAATATATCTGCTCAGTTTTTCTTATTTTTGTTTTTATTGTTTAACCTGGATTCCTAGAGGTTGATTCTGTATCTTCATATCTTAATGATCAGACAATGATTATAGCCTTAAGGCTTCCATCCTCTGCCAATTTATCTGTGTGAGTTGGTAAACACATCTAAAATTGAAGCCAGTTACAAGTCCATTTTTTAATTCAAGTATAGTTGACATAGAATGTTATATTAATTTCAGGTGTACAACATAATGTTTGGACAATTACTCAATGCTTACCACAATAAGTGTAGTCACCATTTGTCACCATACAACATTATTAAAATATTATTGATTATATACCCCATGCTGTACTTTTCATCTCCATGACTTAATTATTTTTTTAAAAGATTTTATTTATTTATTTATTTGAGAGAGAGAGAGAGAAACAGCATGAGAGGGGATAGGGTCAGAGGGAGAAGCAGGCTCCCCGCCGAGCCGGGAGCCGGATGTGGGACTCGATCCCAGGACCCTGGGATCATGACCTGAGCCGAAGGCAGTCGCTTAACCAACTGAGCCACCCAGGCGCCCCCATGACTTAATTATTTTATAACTATAAACTTGCACCTCTTAGGCCCTTTCACTTATTTTACCCATTTTCCCACCCATCTCCCTTCTGGCAACCACTCATTTATTCTCATTTAAGAGTCTGTTTGTTTTGTTTTTTAGATTCCACATATAAATGAAATCATATGATATTTTTCTCTGATTTATTTCACTTAGCCTGATACACTTTAGGTCCATCCAAACTGTTGTAAATGGCAAGACTTAATTCTTTTTTATGGATGAGTAATATTCCACTGCATATATACACTCCATCTTCTTTATCCATTCATCTATTGGCGGATACTTGGGTTGCTTCCATATCTTGGCTATTGTAAATAAAGCTGCAGTAAACATAAGAGTGGTTTGTCTTTTCAAATTAGTGTTTTCATTTTCTTTGGTAAATACCAGTAGTGGAATTACTGGATCATGTGGTATTTCTTTTTTAATTTTTTGAGGAACCTCCTTACTGTGTTCCACAGTGGTTGTACCAATTTACATTCCTACCAACAGTGCACAAGAGTTCCCTTTTCTCCACATCCTTGCTAACGTTTGTTTGTTTGTTTGTTTGTTTAGCCATTCTATAGATACGAGGTGATACCTCGTTGTGGTTTTGATTTGCATTCCCTTGATGACTAGTGAGGTTGAGCCTCTTTTCATGTGCCTGTTAACCATTTGTATTTTTCCTGTGGAAAAATTAGGTCCCCTGTCCATAATCAGATTGTAGTTGTTGTTGCTGTTGATTTTGAGTTGTTTAAGTTCTTTATATATTTTGGATATTAACTACTTCTCAGGTATATCATTTAAAAATATCTTCTCCCATTCAGTAGACTGCCTTTTCCTTTTGTTGATGGTTTCTTTTGCTATGCAAAGCTTTTTATTTTGGTGTAGTCCCAATGGTCTATTTTTGCTTCTGTTTCCCTTGCTCAAGGAGACATATCCATAAATGTGCTGCTAAGCACATTTTAGGAGTTTTATGGTTTCAAGTCTCATATATAGGTATTTAATCCATTTTGAGTTTATTTTTGTGTATGGTGTAAGAAAGTGGTCCAGTTTCATTGTTTTGCATGTATCTGTGTTGTTTTTTCAACATTTTTTAAAGACTGTCTTTTTCCCATTGTATGTTCTTGTCTCCCTTACCATAGATCAAATGACCATATAGGTGTGGGCTTATTTCTGGGCTCTCTATCATGTTGCATTGATCTTGTGTCTATTTTTGAGTCAGTACCATACTGTTTTGATTATTATAGCTTTGTTGTATATCTTGAAATCTGGGGTTGCTGATACTCACAGCTTTGTTCTTTTTTCTCAAGATTGTTTTGGCTATTTGGAATCTTTTGTGTTCCATACAAAGTTTAGGATTCTTTGTTCTAGTTCTGTGAAAAATGCTTTTGGTATTTTGATAGGGATTGCATTGAACCTGTAGTTTGCTTTGAGTAGTATGGGCATTTTAACAATATTAATTCTTCTGATCCCTGAGCATGATATATCTTTCCATTTGTTCGTGTCATCTTCAATTTCTTTTTATCAGTGTCTTATAGTTTGCAGACTACAGTCCTAACAAGGTAGATGGATAGTGTTAGCACTGGCTCCTGCAAGCACCTAGCTATTTAGCTTGGGGGAGGTCTTGAAAAAATGGTACCCCTGAGCACTTTTATTCCCTGAGAAATCTCCTGCAGATCCCTGCCCCTCCAGCACACATTCTTGGTCAGTAAATCCCCTTCATGTATTACCCAGGCACTTTTCAAACTGCTGCATCTGTGCTGTGTCTTGTGCCTAGTTAATGAGCTTGCTGGCTCTTTAAGGGCTGGGACTGAGTTTCTTATCACCCTCTAGCTCTCTTGGAGTTAAACCTCACTGATTTTCAAAGCCAGGTGTTATGAACACTTGTCTTCCCAGTGTGAGTCCCCAGGGCTGGTGGTTCCTGATATGGGGTTTAATCCCCTCACTACCCCAAGCTTGTGATGCCCCTCCCACTTGTGGTTAGTCATATTGGGAATTTGCTTCCTGGCTGCATCTTTGACCCTCTTTCCCGTGTTAATTTTGCCATCTCTCTATGACCAGCTGTGGAAGACCTGTTCTGCAGGACTTTGGGTCATTTTTAAAGCTAGTTGTATGGATATAGATATTTCCTCAGTGTGTCCATGGGACAAGATGAGCTCAGGAGCCTTCTACTCCACCATCTTCCTCAACTTCTCTAGAAATACCTATATTTTATAAACTTTACAGACTTTTAAGTGGCCTTGCCCACTTTAATTGAACAGCAACTTTTTAGAAACTCATTATTATTGAAAAGTTCAAAAGCATTCATAGAAACAGCCTTCTGTCTACTATTATAAACTCATTTGTTTATGCGATATTTAGTTAAATTACATAACTACAATGACACAATGATGTAATGGGTCTTAGGAATAGTGCAACTGATTTTTGGTAAGCATATAATTGAACTGATAAAAGCTATAAAGCACAGCATAGCAGAGATTAGTCTCCTAGCTAAATGCATTTAACAAGTCAGTATACTTTATATTGTACATTAATATATAGATTAAGTTATTTGGAGATTAAGAGAGTATCTGTAGTACCCTTCCCTTTACCATCTTGGAAAATGAGAGTCATGTTCTGGACTGACTTTTATATCTGCAGTTCCCATGTATAGTAAAAGAATAGCACCTCCTCAATGGAGAACGACACCAGGGTCTTTCTAACCTCATTTTGCCTTATAGTTATAATTTTCAAACTAGTTATTTACTTATTTGTTTGTTTGTTTATTTAACTAGTTTAGTGCTAAAACTTTTTTTCATTCAAAACCTTATAAGCAATTATAATAGATTAAAAATTCCTCCGATTAAAGAAGGGTCTTTAAGTCTCATTTAGTTTGATACTCATTTGCCAGAGAAAGTGGCTGCTGAGGTAGAGTTGTAAGGAATCCACTTCGAATACCACTACTCTAAATGATAGTCTTCTTTTATAATTCAAGTCATATTATGTTGTTGCCTAGAGAATATTTGCTTTTTGATAGATTCAAATCTCTTACACCAAATTTGTTTTTGTTTTGTTTTTTCTTTAATAAGCTATGAAGGGTGTGAGGTTAGGGGATGACTAGTTGTTAGAAATTTCCTTTGAGTGATTTCTTACTACCTTAACTTCTAACCTGAGCATAAAAATGACCAAAGAATCTTTCTCTGTGAGAGCTTTATATTGCTGTCCATGGCAGCTTTCCTTCTAGATTAAGTATTCTCTTTTAACTCTGACCTTGAAAGTTCAATCTAAATGTCATTAAAAAATAATGGCTTCAAGAGCTGGAATCTGTGCACTCTGTTGGATCTTCAGTGTCTTTTAGGTCTAAGACTAAGAGTATTTTATAGCTTTACACTCAGCTGGCCACAACTGTGACTGAAGCAAAATTGGATTATTGCACCACATAATGAAGATAACAAGGAAGGGATATCTGTGAATTGCTGTTACAGGTTTGTTGACAGAGCCAGCATTTGAGAAAAGCTTCTAGCCTTAGAATCACAGAAGGTAAAAAAGCTTTAAAATCATTGATTCCTTAGAGGTAGTAAGTGATGTGCTGGCTTAGCCAGTAAATGGCACAAATTATGATTGCCTTAGGTCTTATTTTAGTACTCTTTCTTCCATGCAAATGACCCTTAACTTTTTGTTGTTGTTGTTGTTGTTGTTCTTGGACTCCCTTGTGAATATAAGGAAAATAACAAACCTGATCCCTGGAAAAATATATATGTACAAACATATGCCAGAATTTGCACAAATCACCTGGCTGAGAATCTCAATTCACTTGTCCGTAGATCCAGTTTGAGGATGAGAGAAGACTTTCTTTCTTCGAAGTGCCAGTGAAAGAGCAGAATATTGTAAATTCAGTCTATTTTTAGTGAGATATATGGTGCTAAGATGTCAAGGCACCTAATTTTTCTTCATTAGAGAAAAGTAATATATATTCTTTTTTTTTTTCATTTTTTTATTCTTATGTTAATCCCCATACATTACAACATTAGTTTTAGATGAAGTGTTCCATGATTCATTGTTTGTGCACAACACCCAGTGCTCCATGCAGAATGTGCCCTCCTCAACACCCACCACCAGGCTAACCCATCCTCCCACCCCCCTCCCCTCTAGAACCCTGTTTGTTTTTCAGAGTCCATCGTCTCTCATGGTTC